CATTTTGCTGAATCTTCCAATGAATTCCAGTAATTTTCTTGCTGAGTCTTTGGGATTATCTATGTATAGGATCATATCATCTGCAAATAGAGTTTTCTTCTTGAATGTCTTTAATTTCCTTATCTTGCCTTATAGCTGCATCTTCTCTCTCTCTCTCTCTCTTTCTCTCTCTGTCTGTCTGTCTGTCTGTCTCGCTGTCTTTTTGGACTAGGTTTGCCAATGGTTTGTCGAATTTATTAATCATTTCCAAGAACCAACTTCTTGTCTTGTTGATTCCTTCTATTGTTTTTCTATTTTACTTTTTTCTGCTCTAATCTTTATTATTTCTTTTATTTTGGTGAACTGTATCCTTTCTTTGCGGGGGTTTATTTTGTAATTGTTTGAGATGTTGTGCTGATGTGTTAATTTGGGGTTTTTTTCTTTTTGGATGTGTGTGTTCATTGCTATAAATTGCCCCTCTCTGCACTGTTTTTGCTATGTCCCAAAGGTTTTGGCATGTTGTATTTTCATTTTCATTTGTTTCTAGATTTATTTATTTTTATCTGTTCTACTACCCAGTAGTTTTTAAGCAGGGTGTTCACCAGTTTCCATATATTTGACTTTATTTCCTTGATCTTCCTATTGTTGATTCTTAATTGCATAGCATTGTGATCTGAGATGCTTTATAGTATTTTGATGTTTTAAAATTTATTGAGACTTGTTTTATGGCCTAACACATGCTCTATACTAGAGAATGTTCCATGTGCACTGGAAAAGAATGTGTATTGTGTAGTTGTTGGTGTGAATATTCTGTACAAATCTGTGAGGTCAAGATGATTAATTGTATTGTTTAGTTTCTCTGTGTCTTTGTTGAGTTTCTTCCTGGTTGATTGGTCCTTTTTCGAAAGTGGTATATTAAAATCCCCCACTATCATTGTAGCGTTGTCAATTTCTTTCTTCAATTTTATTAGGGTTTGAGTTATATATTTTGAGGCTTTTTTTCGTTGGGAGCATAAATATTTATTATGATTATGCCCTCTTGTTCAGTTGACCCTTTAACCATGAGATAATGTCCTTCTTTGCCTCTTGAGTTGATTTTTGCCTCAAAGTTTAATTTATCAGAAATTAATATTGCTACTTCTACTTGTTTCTAATTGTAATTACCTTGGTATATTTTTTCCCATCCTTTAATTTCGAATCCAGTTTTTTCTTTATGTGTAGGGTGTGTCTCTTGTAGACAGCATATTGAAGGATCTTACTTTCTTATACATTCTGCTACTCTCTGTCTCTTGACTGGTGCACGTAATCCATTGACTGTAATTATCAATAGGTACAGATTGATTGCAATCATTTTGCTCTTTGATTTTTTTTGTGGTGCTGATGGTTTCTTTGCTTTGCATGTTTTCCTGTGTTGAATTCATTTGTGTGTGTGTGTGCTTTTTCTTGTCAATTTCTTCCTAGTTTTAATGTTTCCAAAATCTTCCTGGATTTTCCTTTCCTTGGTTTAATGTGAGGGTGTTAAGTTAAGTTTCTTTGAAATTACCCTGTATTTTATTAATTTCTTCCTTATTTTAATACAGTCTGTTTCATCCTGAAGTCTACCTGATCTCCTTACTGCCTGAAATTCTGTAATTATACTTTTCCCTCCCTTTGCTTTGTAGTTGTCTTGATCATAGACTGATATCCCAGATTTCCTGTTTTCAGTCTTGTGGTTTTGTTTTACTCTAGACACTTGCATATCTGGACTGGATTCCATGTGGTGTTGCCACGTGTGTCAGTCTCTGGTTGTTGCCTGCTCTTGTTGGTTCTAAGTCCAAAGAATTCCCTTTTATACATTTTGAAACATTTGCTTGGATTTTACAAAGTCCTTTAATTTTTGTTTATCCTGAAATGTTATAATTTTGGCATCATATTTGATGGACAACTTTGCTGGGTGTATGATTCTTGGTTGGTAATATTTTCCCCCCAGAGTTTTGTATCTGTCTCCCATTGCCTTCTTGCCTGCATGGTTTCTACTTAGAAATAAGAAGTTAATCTTACTGGTTTTCCTTTGTAGGTAACATTTTATTTTCCCCTAGCTGCTTTTAGGATGCTTTCCTTGTCTTTGATTTTGGAGAGTTTGATTATGGTATGTTGTTGTTGTTGTCAGGTGCCAGTGTTCCCATGTTCTGTTCGAACAACTGCTTCTTGATCTAGGTACAGATTTCTTAGAAGTACAATTAAGTGTTCTGGAATACTCATACTT